GAAATCTGATCTCATAGTCAGAAACATATGTACAGACAGAAACGTTCATACATAAACGCTTAATACATACACATATAATTCATATATGCATACATATATACAGACTTGGAGACTAACTGACTGAATGATAACTGACTAACTGACTGACTGACTGATGACTGACTGACTGACTGACTGACTGAAATGTAGGAAGACAGACAGAAGCAGAACAGATGAAGAGACAAACATACAGGTACATATCATTGTGTTCAGATGCTTTTGTGATATGTTGTGTTCTGTGCTTATCTTTGGTTTTCAGTCATTGAATAAACTATTTGTGGTAATTTTAAGTGAAATAAATACTGTTACAAGAATCACTTGAGTTTGATGGCAAATCCCAGTTAAAGTTCTTTAGAACAGAAGCAAGAAAGTGAAAATGCGCTGCAAAGGGGCATTTTATACATTTATTATTGTAGCCATTATTTTATTTGTTTTGCTTCTGTCAGCCCCCCAACCCCTTGCCTGTTGTTGTCGTTAGGGGGCTTAGGAGGAGGAGACTGGGATCCAATGATGGGGAACTCCCCAACCTTGGGACTCGTCCCTCAACTCAACTAATTTTGCATGGTCTTTTTTCCCCTCCTGCTTTTTTTCTTTTTTTTCTATCCTTTCACCAATCCCTTCTACTATCAACTTCCTAAGGTGTAAGAGCCGTGCTGAAAGGATGAAAAGCTGACTTTGTGCCAGTCCTTAACGGCCTGAGGGAGCCATGGGCACAGTATTCCCTTGCTTTAGTTGCTTAGCCCTTACCCCTCAAGGGGACCCTGAGGGGTGGACTGATTTTCCCCCCAACATACTCTGGGCTTACCATGGCCAATAATGAAGATATAATCCCACTATTAGGGGCAATGAGGCTTGTCCCTTCATCAAATAACCCCAACAATTCAAACTCTCCCGATTCCCTGACCCCAGGCTTTCCTTTGACCATGGCTCTGAACACTACAACAACTACCCCCTCCTCAATGCCTACTAGTACAGTATCTACCCTAGCCAACACTCAACCCCCAGGAGACATTTCCACTCTCTCAACATGCTCAACTTCAACACCTCTACCCCCACACCTCTACCCCCTCCCTTATTACTACTTTGCAGCTTTATTTCCCACCTCTCCATAACACTACCTCCCTCAACACTATTCCCTCTTCCTCACCCTCTCCTAAACCTACCCCTCCTCCATCTAACTTCCCCTCTTCTACCTCCTACCTTCCCCAGTCAAATTATTTTGCCATCCTAAATCCAGACACTCCAATCTCTACTACAGCCCCAACACCCCCTCTCCCTCCCCGCACTATCCGCGAAAAACAGAATAAACGTTTCACCCCCTCTTTCCCTACCACACAATCACCTCCACCTTCCTTTGCCCCTACTCTTCAGACACCAGTCTTCTCTTCCCCCTCCCTCACAAGAACACCGTTATCTCACAAAACTCCCCAACCAACTCCATAACAGAAACTCTTGAAGATGTTCAAAACTATCTACTCGAGTCCCAAACTGACACATCCACCTTCAAATTCTACAACTCCCGCTCCCTCCACACTTAAAGTGACTGCCGATATCCATCCTCCTCCTACTCACATCCCCCCAACACCCTATCCTCCTACCCCCTCCCAACACAGCCCATCCCCCGCGACTCCAGCCCCGCCTACATTAACCCTCCCACCATCCCCTCTATCCCTTCCACTCCCTCCTGGATACACACGTGAATCCCTTATATCACAAGTATCCCCTTCCCCAGACCCTCCACCTCCTAATACCCCTCCTGATACAACACCACCTCCCCCCTCTCATTCCTTATCCCACCTTCTAGCTCCTTCCCCTTCAAATTCTCCAACACGTACTGTAATCGTTATAACTAAATCAACGAAAGTATAAATATCTTTCATGGGAATATTCGCGGTTTCCGCTGTCCACTGCACTGATTTTCGTATATTTCTTCGCCGCTGGATCACAGTGATTCCAGTCTACTTCTCCCCTTCCCACCCCATTGACTTTGTTGCTGTTGAAAATCTAATTTCCAAACTTCAACCACCTTTCCTCATAGTAGGTGATTTTAACTGCCGCCACACTCTTTGGGGTGATTCTATCACCAACTCCCGAGGCCGATCCCTAGAGCGCTTCCTCTCCACAGCTGACCTTATTATTCTTAATCCAGATCGCCTCACACACTTTGATACACGCACGCAATCTTTTTCATGCATTGACCTCTCTGTATGCTCCCCTTCTCTTTATTTAGATTTCCACTGGTCAGTTCTAGACCACTTTCCCTATAGTGACCACTTTCCAGTTCTCCTTTCTCCTACTTCATATGTACCACTTCCTAACTCCCCACGCTGGTGCTTTGATAGAGCCGACTGGCGTACTTTCACTTCACTCTCTGCTATTCATATCCCTCCATCCTCCCTTTCATCCATTTCAGAAATTATACAATGTTTCACAACTACAGTTCTAAGAGCTGCCCATACAGCTATTCCTCGAACCTCAAGACCCTATGCCTCCAAATGTGTTCCATGGTGGAATTCTGATTGCACTAAAGCACTTCGCTTAAAACGTGCAGCCTGGAACAGTTACCGCTACAAGAGAGGTACTCCAAATCAACTATCAGCCCTTATCTCCTTTGAAAGAGCATCTGCCTGTCTTCGTCATACGATCCAGAATAGTAAAACAAATAGCTGGCGAAATTATGTTTCCTCAATTACATCCTCTACATCTATCTCAAATGCTTGGCGCCGGATCCATAAACTATCAGGCAAACATCCCCCCCATCCAGCCCTGGGCCACGAACCATGGCTTCCGCTTTTCTAGCTCCAAATCTTTCTCCATCCTTTTCTCTCGCACACGTGTAAGTCCCCTACTCCACTCTTCTTATATGGCACTCCACTCCAGTACCGTTCCTCTGGCAAATTCCTAGGCGTCATTTTTGACTCCAAACTGTCCTGGCGAGACCGTATTCTTTACATTAAAGAAAAAGCTCGCCGCCGTCTCCGAATCTTACAAACTCTATCCCATATATCCTGGGGCTCAGATTGCAAAACTCTCCTTCATTTTCATGTTACCTTGATCCTCTCCACTCTCGATTATGGATGCCACATCTATTCCTCTGCCTCAACTTCTCTCCTTGCCCATCTTGATTCAATCCATCACTGTGGTCTTCGCTTAACCCTAGGTGCTTTCCGCTCCTCTCCCGTTGAGAGCCTGTACACTGAATCAGGCATACCATATCTCTCTCGACGCCGTGCCCTTCTCTCTCTCCGATGTTATGCTCGATTCCACCAACTTCCCCTCACTAAACTATCCCACGATCCCTACTTCCTACCTTTGCTTCTTCTCCACGTCTACCTACTCCTTTTTCCACTCGCATGGATACCCTCCTCTTCCATTCCCTTTTTCCCCATTTCCGACCTCTCTTCTCTGTCCATTCTGTCCCTCCATGGCTTATACCTCACCCCCATATTTGCTCCTCTGTTTTCCCTGACCCACCAAAATCAAATATTCTTCCTGCTGTCCTTCTCACCCATTTCCTTGACCATGTCTCCACTCATTCCTCCAGTATTCATGTTTACACTGATGGCTCCAAATCCACCTCCGGTGCTGGCTTTGCAGTAATCTTCCCAACTCGTACTTTCAAATACCCCCTCCCTCCTGAATCCAGTGTCCTTACTACAGAACTGTATGCACTCCTTTTTGCCTTAAAACACATGTACTCACTCCTCTCCCTCTTTTACAATTTTTGCTGACTCCTGTAACTCATTAACTCTCATAAAGTCAATACATACGACCAACCCCTTGTTTGTAAGATCCAGAACTAGTTGTTCTACCTGTCCACACGCCATAAAACAATCAAATTTTGCTGGGTGCCCAGCCACGTTGGAATCTCGGGCAATGAACAGGCAGATACTCCAGCACGTTACGCCGCTTTGTTCACATCATACCAACCACGTTTCTCACGTATCCCAGCCACGGATTATTACCCACACTTTAAGATCTTGTATAATCGATGGCAATCTTTCTGGTCAACTCTCCGCACTAATAAATTACATACTGTAGAGCTATCAATCTCCTCCTGGTCAGCTCCACTTCATCGGAACAGACGTTGGGAGACCGCTCTCGCCCGCCTAACACACTCCTATCTGATGTCACAGTCCGATCCACCCCTATGTTCCTTATGTAATGTTCCTCTTTCAGTCCCACACATTCTATTGTCATGCCCACGTTTTGAAGCAACACGTACCTCTGCTTTCCCCCCACCTATCCTCCCTTCACCGACCTCCCAACCTATCAGACATCCTTACAGAATCTCACACTTTTTGCTTCGACAACCTGTTTTTCTTCCTCAAACGCATATATATCCTTAATTTAATCTAACCCTTTTACCTCACCCGACCTTAACCCATTCACTCACCAATTCCTTTGTCCAGCTTTGACAACTAATCACTAACTCAACTACCCTTCACTAACATTTACTATAGTGCTACATGACCTTAGATGTCTAGCACATTTACTTTGCTTTTAACCATTAACCATTTGCTTCTGTCAGATCTTGAATGTTACTGAATGTTAAATGTTGTATATGTATTCACTGTTATGCTAATATTGAGTACATGTTGATTCTCTCTGCCTCTATCCCTGTGTTTGTGTGTGTGTGTGTGTGTGTGTGTGTGTGTGTTTCTTTCTCTGTCTCTGTCTGTCTGTCTGTCTGTCTGTCTGTCTGTCTGTCTCTCTCTCTCTCTCTCTCTCTCTGTCTCTGTCTCTCTCTGAGAATGAGTGTGAGTGTGAGAGATGCAGCATTATAAACAAATTGAAATATATAAAGATAAGTGTAACATCATTTGTTGAAAAGAAGATAAAAAATAACACGTTTACCTATAAAAGCTGCTTATTTTTCCCTGATTGAAGATAAAATGTTGGAATCTGAAATGTTATAACAGCATATTTTTTTTTAGTTATAATTATAAATTTCATTTCAGGGATTTGCCTGTGTAAAAGAAAATCTGATGCTTTCCAAGAATCTATGTCAACCAGTCTAGCTAGAATTAACTCATTCCCGCATGGCATGGCACGTACGTCCATGCCATGCCCACTGTGAGTTTACTTGTTTAATTGTTTTTCGACAAAGATGGCTACACTTGTACTGAATCAATCACCAATGAGCCAATTACGAGTACTGCCTGCCTTGCCTGTTTACCCTTTTCTTTAAGAAGAAAGGAGGGAGAGGGGGAGAAAAAGAGGGAAAGGGGGAGCAAAGGAGGGAGAGGGAGAAGAAAGGAGGGAGAGGGGGAGAAAAAGAGGGAAAGGGGGAGCAAAGGAGGGAGAGGGGAGAAAAAGAGGGAAAGGGGGAGCAAAGGAGAGAGAGAGGGTGAAAGGAGGGAGAGGGAGAAGAAAGGAGGGAGAGGGGGAGAAAAAGAGGGAAAGGGGGAGCAAAGGAGGGAGAGGGGAGAAAAAGAGGGAAAGGGGGAGCAAAGGAGGGAGAGGGGAGAAAAAGAGGGAAAGGGGGAGCAAAGGAGGGAGAGGGGGAGAAAAAGAGGGAAAGGGGGAGCAAAGGAGGGAGAGGGGGAGAAAAAGAGGGAAAGGGGGAGCAAAGGAGAGAGAGAGGGTGAAAGGAGGGAGAGGGAGAAGAAAGGAGGGAGAGGGAGAAGAAAGGAGGGAGAGGGGAGAAAAAGAGGGAAAGGGGGAGCAAAGGAGGGAGAGGGAGAAGAAAGGAGGGAGAGGGAGAAGAAAGGAGGGAGAGGGAGAAGAAAGGAGGGAGAGGGGGAGAAAAAGAGGGAAAGGGGGAGCAAAGGAGGGAGAGGGGGAGAAAAAGAGGGAAAGGGGGAGCAAAGGAGGGAGAGGGGAGAAAAAGAGGGAAAGGGGGAGCAAAGGAGGGAGAGGGGGAGAAAAAGAGGGAAAGGGGGAGCAAAGGAGGGAGAGGGGGAGAAAAAGAGGGAAAGGGGGAGCAAAGGAGGGAGAGGGAGAAGAAAGGAGGGAGAGGGGGAGAAAAAGAGGGAAAGGGGGAGCAAAGGAGGGAGAGGGGGAGAAAAAGAGGGAAAGGGGGAGCAAAGGAGGGAGAGGGAGAAGAAAGGAGGGAGAGGGGGAGAAAAAGAGGGAAAGGGGGAGCAAAGGAGGGAGAGGGGAGAAAAAGAGGGAAAGGGGGAGCAAAGGAGGGAGAGGGGGAGAAAAAGAGGGAAAGGGGGAGCAAAGGAGGGAGAGGGAGAAGAAAGGAGGGAGAGGGAGAAGAAAGGAGGGAGAGGGGAGAAAAAGAGGGAAAGGGGGAGCAAAGGAGGGAGAGGGGGAGAAAAAGAGGGAAAGGGGGAGCAAAGGAGAGAGAGAGGGTGAAAGGAGGGAGAGGGAGAAGAAAGGAGGGAGAGGGGGAGAAAAAGAGGGAAAGGGGGAGCAAAGGAGGGAGAGGGGGAGAAAAAGAGGGAAAGGGGGAGCAAAGGAGGGAGAGGGGAGAAAAAGAGGGAAAGGGGGAGCAAAGGAGGGAGAGGGAGAAGAAAGGAGGGAGAGGGGGAGAAAAAGAGGGAAAGGGGGAGCAAAGGAGGGAGAGGGGAGAAAAAGAGGGAAAGGGGGAGCAAAGGAGGGAGAGGGGAGAAAAAGAGGGAAAGGGGGAGCAAAGGAGGGAGAGGGAGAAGAAAGGAGGGAGAGGGAGAAGAAAGGAGGGAGAGGGGAGAAAAAGAGGGAAAGGGGGAGCAAAGGAGGGAGAGGGAGAAGAAAGGAGGGAGAGGGGGAGAAAAAGAGGGAAAGGGGGAGCAAAGGAGGGAGAGGGGGAGAAAAAGAGGGAAAGGGGGAGCAAAGGAGGGAGAGGGAGAAGAAAGGAGGGAGAGGGGGAGAAAAAGAGGGAAAGGGGGAGCAAAGGAGGGAGAGGGAGAAGAAAGGAGGGAGAGGGAGAAGAAAGGAGGGAGAGGGGGAGAAAAAGAGGGAAAGGGGGAGGAAAGGAGGGAGAGGGGGAGAAAAAGAGGGAAAGGGGGAGGAAAGGAGAGAGAGGGAGAAGAAAGGAGGGAGAGGGGAGAAAAAGAGGGAAAGGGGGAGGAAAGGAGAGAGAGGGAGAAGAAAGGAGGGAGAGGGAGAAAAAGAGGGAAAGGGGGAGGAAAGTAGAGAGAGAGGGTGAAAGGAGGGAGAGGGGGAGAAAAAGAGGGAAAGGGGGAGCAAAGGAGGGAGAGGGAGAAGAAAGGAGGGAGAGGGGGAGAAAAAGAGGGAAAGGGGGAGCAAAGGAGAGAGAGAGGGTGAAAGGAGAGAGGGGGAAAATGGGCAGCTGAATCTTGTATTAATAAAAAAAAACGCTTAATATTCTCTTTATCCTCTATCAAATTCGTTTCATGAAAATCCATGTTTTTACATTCAGTAACACCGCTATGTAAAACAAGAGCAAGTATTAAAAAAATAATAAAAAATAAGAATAAATAAATAAATAGAATAAAATAAATAAATAAATAAAAAAATAAAAATAAAAATAAATAAGTAATAATAATAATAATAATAATATCCTAAATTATCATGTACTTGTAAAGGTTGCCTCAAATAGTTTATATAATTCCATAAAGTAATCTCATTTCAAGTTACTTTTTCACATTATTTTCTTTTTTCTCAAATAGCTCGTGTGTATTTTCTGGTTTCCTGCATTCATATGATAGTTCTTTTCAATTGCCTTTGTTCATATTTTTTTGCTTTGTTTTATGGTGCTATAAGTTACATTTCCAAATCTTGTTCCATACTAATGTTTCTTTTAAATTAATTGCTGAACTGAAATACAGATGTCCATGTTGTTGTTTTTTTCGAAGTTCTAGATGAATAAATGCAAGTGTATAGAATCCTATTTAATTCATATCTTCTATTTAGTTTTCTCCCCCCAATCCCTTGTGTGGTGCAGCGGCAGCGATCTCGTCTAGCAATCTTGCCGCCAGTGGATGGCAACCCCGGCCATTCCTTGCACACAGGGGATAACTTAGAAGCAAAATGTAACAGACACTATGTCACACCAAGAATATCCATTGTAACAAATAGAAGCAAACTAAACCTAACCTAACCTAACCTTACCTTGCTCGTTATCATGGGTGGGGGTGGCAGATGGAGGCCCTATATGGAGGATCACTCCTGCCTTGGACCTCAGTTCTTGCCTTAATTAATTGGCTGACCTTTTCTTCTCCCATTGTTCTGTTCCTTTATCCTAATGGTTAAACTCATTTTTGCTATTTTTGCCAACTTTATCATAATACTCCAATCCTCCCTATTCCCTTAACTCATTCCCCTTCTAATACCATTTACCTTACCCTGTATCTCATCAGCTCCCCTTCTCTACCCTTTTCACTATCATACTACTCACTACTACTCTTCACCCTGTAAATTCAGCCTAATCATTAAATTGTTCCTCACCCTTTTCACTACTCTACTCTATCACAGCGCCATTTGACCTTACCTCATGCTTTCTCTATATTTTGAACATGACAATGTTGACATGGCGGAAAACATTCAATAAATAAATGAAATACCACATTTGAGGTCATATAGCACTTGCTTATTGCTATATTTTGAATACGCCACTAATGATCTTAGATCTTGATGCGGCAGAAAATCTTCATTAAGAAAAAATATATTTTTAAAGTTTTCTAAAGCCCTTGCCTCATGAGCTGTCACAGATGAGAAAACATTGAGAAAACTCTTACGAAACTTTGCGTGTTCATGGCCATCATTCATGCTTACTCGAACAGAGCCTTTTTTTAATATTTAATTTTTTTCTCTCTTGCATTCACTGGTCCAGTAAAGTACTTGGGGACTTTGGGAATTTTCTCTTCAGGATTCTTTTCTTCTACCTCACTGTGGTTCATTATTTATGCATTTTCATATTTCATGATTTTTAGTTTTCTCATGTTCAGTCTTAGATATCAGTTCCATAGAACATAAATGCCAATCTGTAGATTTAATTCTGCCAGTGATATGGAGTTGTATTTCCTGACATAATGGGTAGATTTTTTATTCTTGTTAGCATTTACTTAGAATATAATAGAATAAATGAAGCAATGAAAAATACTTTTCATAGTTATTCATAAATAGGGGATAAGTTTTGATTTTGTTTACATAATCAGCAACTTCTCTTTCTTTTATATACGTATATATTTACACACATTAAATAAATATATACAATATATATATATATACATATATACATTATATATATATATATATATATATATATATATATATATATATATATATATATATATATATATATATATATATATATATATATATATATATATATATATATACATACACATAAACATATATATATATATATATATAAATATATAATATACACATACATATGTATATATATACACACACGCATATACACAAACACACACACTTTCTTTTTCTTCTTTTCCTGTTTTACTTCTGACTTTCCTTTCTTTGGCTTTCTGTAATCAGTTGCATTCTGATGTTTTCTCAAAGTTTCTTCTACAAAGCCTCCAAAATTTATAAAAAATTTATTAACATCTCCAAATCAATAACAATGGTAACAATAATCCATTGAAAAAAAGGAAAGAAAAAAGAGAAGGAAACAAAATACAAGACCAAAACATAGACAAGGGGGAGGGGAGGGGGAGGCACAGTTGTGAGAAAGAAAACAGACAAGGATTATAAATAACATCAAAGCCCAAAAAAAAGGCTAAATCTTTTCTTCAAATATATAATCTTGTATTTATTAAATATCTCACAATACAAATATCTTTAATTTTCCACATACTGTACACTATTCAATATAAACAAGCAAGTCCCTTCACTGGGCATTCACTCTCAATCTTGTCAACCTGTTTAACAGATTTCCATTATCACACTCATATACCTTTGCTGGGATGTAAGTGTTCAAAATGATTCTAAACTCTAATGCAGGTCTAAATGCAGGTCGAAGCTTAAGCATCTAGTGACGGGACAGTGTCATATATCGTTTCTGTAAAGAATTAAAATAAAAAAGGAAAAAAAGAGAAAGAAAAGAATGAAAGAAAATGATTAAATATTTTAAGATAGCAGAGAAATGGAGAGGGAGAGAGAGAGAGAGATAAAGAGACAGACAAAGATATGGAGAAAAAAATCAATAATTTAAAATGATTTGTCACTATTTCTGCAGAACACTTACACACCATGACCTAAGAAAATACATACATTGTAAAAAAAAAAAGTAAAAATAATATAAAAGTGAATGGAAATTAAGAAAAGATG